ATTAGTTGATGTAATTGACGATTAGTTGATGTAATTGACGATTAGTTTATATAATGTCATTAGTGATGTTTGGAGGGAAGGGAGGGAGGGAGTGTGGTGAAGGAGAGAGAAAGAGAAGGAAGGAAGGAAGGAAGGGAGGGAGGGATAGAGAGAGAGGAGAGGTAAGGAATGGAGGAAGGGTAGAGGTGAGGGGAGGAGAATTGTGTGTAGTGAGGTTGGGTGAGAGGAAGGGAGGGATGAGGTTAAGGAGGGAGGGAGGGAGGGAGAAGTGAAGATGGATGAAAGAAAGAGAAAAGAAGGGAGGAAGAGAAATTGAGATAAGGTGGAAAGAGACGGGGGATTGAGCACTTTGTATTCGACTTTCAAGTAATGAAGAACACGGTGCTTTTTGGTGAATATTTGAGTACCGATTATTAAGCACCTTGTAATTGATATCTGAAGAGTATATTAGAAGGCGGTGCTCTAACAGGGAATAGTTGAGTACCTAGTGTGTATGTGAGAACTTAATTAGATAAAGCGCTGAATATTTGAGCACCGCGAGAGCAGGTGTCATTCGGTAGGGCTTCACAACACAAGGTAGAGACGTCACAAGAGAGCGTCACACAACAGAAGGTATAGGGGCGTCACAAGAGGGCGTCACACAACAGAGGGGAAGACAACAGGATGTAGGGTGGCGTCACATGGGTTGGGTCTGTTTGCTTATCATTTCCCTGATTTATGACGCAGTTCAAATGGAAATTCTCTTAGCGTCAGCCTCGATAACTATGCTAATGAGAGGCTTTTAACTTTCCTGGGGGAGAGTGTTTGACTTTTTGTGTGAGAGAGTGTGTGAGAGTGCGTGAGAGTGTGTTTGTGAGAGTGGATCTGTAGGTGTGTAGATGTGAGTGGACCTAAAATTAAATAATAATAATTAACGGATTATTGAAAAAGTTCTGCAGCCCGAAGGCTGAAAATATACATATGGACATAAATGACTTATTACGTACATTAATGCTTTAACAAAAGCTTTCATTAGAAAAATGAAAAGGAACATACAGTAAACATACAGATTAATGTTTACAGTGGAGGTCACGTAGATCATAAACGCTGAAGTGTTGAACAGCAGACACGTAGTGTAGTAATTCCCTCACAGATGGTGTTATGAGGGGCCTGATGTGGTGTAATAACTCCCTCACAGGTAGTGTTGTGAGGAACCTCACAGGATGCTGTAGCAACTCATTCACTACGTGGTGTCGTAGCATCATGGGGACACCACGTGGTCTGGTGTCACAGGACCTCACTCACTTCAAGTGAGTGAGGTTTGGTCCCAGGCCTCCCTATCGTGGACGGATTAACACGTAGCTGGTGTTGTTGAGTCTCAGGGGCAGTTATCACTGGGTACCTGGGACCTCACTGTGTGAAGGTTAGCTTGGGTACGATTCAGCTGTTACTGTTGAGTTGCTTTTCACTTAATTAAGTACTGTTCACCACTGGTTCCATTCCTTTCCTAAATGAAATAGTAACTTCTGGCGAGAACTTGTTGATATTCCGGTGGGGAGGAGGGTTCAGGGGAGGGGGATGGTATAGGCCAACAAAACAGTTGACCTGGCTGCTCCCAGGGGAGCGCCAGATACGTCTTGACCCTTCGGTGGTCAAGGATGTGTGAGTATGAGTGTGCTTATCCAGTGCAGTTGTCGAGTTGTCCGGTCTTCTCGGACTATTCTTTGACACTGGATCATATAACTCATTACCTCAGGGTGTGGTTGTTTTGTTGGCTACAGCTTCCACACGTTAAACAAATTCACGCCTGGGTGGTCCTTGGACCGGCCATCCTGAACCACGAAGGGTAGCTATTATTATTTTTTTTATTATATGTGTGTATGTGAGAAAGGGGACAGGTAGTTGATGTGAGAGAGAGAGAGAGAGAGAGAGAGAGAGAGTTTTCGAAGGTGTAATCATGAGAGAATCGAACCACGGAACACTCATAACCATTCATGAATGATCCGAACCTTATGAGTCTCGAACCCTGAGAGTCTCGAACCATTGTCCTGGGTTTATCAATCGGCACACGTACCCACAAGGCCACACACAGATAACACACACCCCTTGCGTCATCGTAGATCAGGTGTTAAGTGGTAAGCGAAGATTAAAATAATTACTATTATTTAATCGCCATTTGTACAGTCTTTATGAACTTGATAACGGAGAGGGGGAATGATGATGGGGAGGAGGGGTGGGGTGGGGAGGGGGGCGGACAGTTGTTTGAATGTAAGTAACACCAATACTTTATGATTACTTAAGAACTACGTAATATAAGTAGGTCGAGAGTAAACACACCCCTGAACATTAACTTAATCTAATATGCTTAATTGAGTTAATGGGAAAATTACCTTTTGTTTATAGTGTCATTTAACTCATAGGGAAATGTTGCAAAAAATCCCATGTGGATTAAATTGCCAGGTCACACACACACACACACACACACACAAAGGGATGTTAGTGGACGCGGCTTCTGGTAACAGTGCAAAAATTCTCATTACGAAGCATTTGGCGGTGGACGTCACGGGGAATCCCCCTCCTCGTCAGCTGATCGGAGCTCACGTATAGTAAACAAACACTTGGTCACAATCCCTTCTCCACCACCACTCCTCCCTCCTCATCATCACAACACCTGCCTCGTGATAGTGACGTTAGTGTGTTATTTTAAAGTTATTACAGTGTTTACGTAAAAACATACATAGTGAAAATATCTACCTTTGTGATGACGTTCTCGGGTTATAGTATCATTTGATTCTTAAAGAGAAATTGAATACGTAGAGCCAACACTCTCACTCGGCTCTGACCAACAGCACAACATAACCAACACACACCAGAAGAATTATTAACGTGAATGTTATTCCTTGAGACGATAACATGACAGTTTACACCCAAGAGACTACGTGACGAGTTGTGTTTAATGTGTATTTACCTGTCATGAAGGACGAGAGGAGGAGACAGCTGCATCTATCTCTCATCTCTCCATCTATCTCTCATCTCTCCATCTATCTCTCATCTCTCCATTATCTCTCAAACTATCAGAATAATAAACTTGTCGTTATTGTATTGTTTTGTTGGTTCCTGGATGTGGAGTCGTTTACCGGGAACTGTTTGTTAACTGATTTGTGACACGTTTTAGCAGCCTGGGTCTTTTCTACATGATACTGACTACTGAGAGGTGAGAGGGGTGGAGGTATGTGTGGTCGAGAGAGGGGGTAGTGGGTGGGAATGGGTGGAAGGAAAGGAGGTTTTGAGGGTGGAGGTGGCAGGAGGAGAGGGGGAAGGGTGGGTGGAGGAATGGGATTGGGTGGGAGGTTGCAGGTGGGATAGTGGGCGGGAAGAAGGTTTGTGGGTGGAGGTGGTGGTAGGGCAGGTGGGTAGATGGAGATTGTGAGTGGGGTGGGTGGAGGGGAAGCGGATGAATAACGAAAGAGGGTGATGTGTGGATGTGAGTGGATGAAATTAGGGGTGGATATGGAGAGTGGATTGTGGATCAGGGGTTTTGGCGGTGGAAGATAAGAAGAAGAAGAAGAAGAAATAGTAGGTTGAAGAAGAAGGAAATAGAATAAGAATAATGACGAGAAGACGGAAGAAGAAACAGGAAGAGGAGGGAGAAGCGTAGTGAGAGAGAGAGAGAGAGAGAGAGAGAGAGAGAGAGAGAGAGCCAACACAAGCAACCATTGTACAATACAATAACACATGACTCAAACCTTCCACCGACCGACACTTGGTACAATGACTCACCTCGCCCGTGCTGAGTCAGGGGAGAGTCGCCCGAGTCACACTCACTTAGGAAGGGGGGGGGTGAGAGGCCTGTGAGAGAGAGAAGTAGGGAGAGTTATTTTTTATTTGGTTTTCTTGAGTTTTTTAGCACACACATACACACACACACACACACACACACACACACGTATTATGACTGCACCAGGAATTGAAGACACCTCAGAGTGGGATTCGAACCCCTGTGTCATAAATGGTTCACTCGCCACCAGCTGTAGTTTAATGTACCCCCCCTCCACCTTATCTACCTCGTCGGCGCCTTCTGCAGGTGGTGGTGTGTGGTAACCTTCGCTCCTCTTAAGTCTTGTTTTGCTTCATAATCTGTATTTCTTTCTTTCTTTCTTATTGATTTTTCTCTTATCGTATTTTCTTTTTCATTTTAATTTTGTCTCTTCTTACGATTTCTTCCTTGTTGTTTAACTCAATGTTATTTATTTATTTATTTATATTCTTGTTTATTTCTAATTTCTGTTTTATTTATTTTCTCTTGAGTTTTTCTTGATTTATCTTTCTTTCTGTCTTGTATTTACTTATTGTGATTAAATTGATTGACACACACCCACACCCACCCACACCCACACACACCCACCCACACACACACACACCACACACACACACACACCCACACACCCACACCCACCCACCACATCAGTCTTTCATCATCATCATCATCATCATAATCATCACATATTATCTGCTCCAACAACCTCACCACCACCACCACCACCACCACCACCACCACCACCACCACCACCACCTTCTGCACCACCACACCACCACCACCACCACCACCTACACCTTCACCCACCACCACCTTCACCACCACCACCACCACCACCACCACCACCCCAATCTTCACCACCACCACCACCACCACCTTTTACCAAGCACTACCTCACCACCACCACACTCACACCACCTTCACCACCACCACCACCTTTCACCACCTCACCACCACCACCACCACCACCACCACCACCACCACCACCACCACCTTCAGCATCCTCGTCAACATCATCTTCATCTTGAGTCTCCTGGTGGTCTGTCGCTCTCATCTCCCTCTCTCTCACTCTCTTCGAGATCCCTCTCTCCCCACTCTCCCAAGGCGCCATGCTGTCTGAGAGGTCTGACAGCCACCGCCACCCACCCACTTCTTCCCTCTCACTCCCCACCACCACCAACCAGCGCCAGTCTAGCTTCGGGTGCCCTCTAAACCAGACGTTCCCTCCTGCAGCAGCGACGAGCGGCCTCCCCTCTCACTCACTCATGCGGTATTACGCTCTCTCCCACACACACACACACACACACACACACCCCGGCTCTCACCACCACACGCAACCAGCTCCTGAATGGTGGTAACACACACACATGTCGTGGCGCCAAAATAACAGTGTTACTAGTACTGGAAATTCCGGTTTGTTGAAGGCATAGTGTCCACTGGTTTTGTGTGTGTGTGTGTTTTTCTCGGGGCCGTGTTTGTGTTTGTGTGGCGTCGTCGTGGTTGGTTGGTTTGTGGTGGCGACGTAGTTGTTGTGGTGGAGACGCGTGGCTCCACCTTACCTCACATTAAACATGATCTACTCCAGTTATCGGTGACTAAAAGACGTGTTTTCTTAATCTTCAAGATGCAAGAATCCTGTAGAATTTTCTTGACGATAACAAAAATATGGTGGACAAGACACTGAGTGAGAAAAAAGAAGAAAAAAAAAACATATATTTTTTGAAAGTGAATGAAAATCAGAAAAGTATATATATATTTTCCTAACAAACTTGACAATCGTGGAAAAAAAAAACCCGAACTTTGACTGACTGTTATAGTGAAGTGCCTTTGAACCCGTGTGTTGTAGAGTAGGTCAGACAGTAGTAGCGGTGGGCCCGACCTTCACGCCTGGTCCCCACACACACACGCCTCCCCCCCACGCCCCCCGCGCCCCCTGGCTTTAAAGAGTAGAGTAAAAGAGTAGCTCAGGATCCCAGCGACGGGGTGGGGGGTAGGAGGAGGAGGAGGAGGAGGAGGAGGAGGAACGTGGAGCAACAGGTGGTATCCCTCCTCCCTCAGGAAGTTTATATGGCCGTGGACGACCCCTTCAGCGCCACCAGGAGACATCCATCTCTCACCTGTGTGTCATAACTGTCCTGGTCACTCTTCAAGGACTCCCGCCGCCATGAGATCCTTATTCGATAGGTACTGAAGGGTCACGCTTTATGTATGGTGGGTGTTGGGGAGATCCTTAGGTGCTGGGTAGGGGTGTTAGGGAGATCCTTAGGTGCTGGGTGGAGGTGCTGGGGAGATCCTTAGGTGCTGGGTGGGGGTGTTAAGGAGATCCTTAGGTGCTGGGTGAGGGTGTTAAGGAGATCCTTAGGTGCTGGGGGATCCTAGGTGCTGGGTGGGGTGCTGGGGAGATCCCAGGTGTTGGGTAGGTGTTGGGGAGATCCTAGGTGCTGGGAGATCCTAGGGTGTTGGGTGGGGGTGTGGGGAGATCCTTAGGTGCTGGGAGATCCTAGGTGTTGGGTGGTGTTGGGAGATCCTTAGGTGCTGGGGAGATCCTAGGTGTTGGGTGGGGTGTTGGGGAGATCCCAGGTGCTGGGGAGATCCTTAGGTGCTGGGTGTTGGGGAGATCCTAGGTGCTGGGGGGGTGTTGGGAGATCCTTAGGTGCTGGGAGATCCTTGGTTCTGTGGGGTGTTAAGGAGATCCTTAGGTGCTGGGTGGGGGTGTGGGGAGATCCTAGGTTCTGGGTGGGGTGTTGGGGAGATCCTTAGGTGCGGGGAGATCCTAGGTTCTGGGTAGAGGGTGTTAAGGAGATCCAGGTGCTGGGTGGGGTGTTGGGGAGATCCTTAGGTTCTGGTGGGGGGTAAGGAGATCCTTAGGTGCTGTGTGTTGGGGGATCCTAGGTGCTGGGTGGGGTGTTGGGGAGATCCTAGTGCTGGGATCCTTAGGTTCTGGGTGGGGTGTTAAGGAGATCCTAGGTGCTGGGTGGGGTGTTGGGGAGATCCTAGGTTCTGGTGGGGTGTTGAGATCCTAGGTGCTGGGAGATCCTAGGTTCTGGGTGGGGTAAGGAGATCCTAGGTGCTGGGGGTGCTGGGGAGATCCTTAGTGCTGGTGGGGGTATTGGGGAGATCCTTAGGTGCTGGGTGTGGGTGTTGGGGAAATCCTTAGGTGCTGGGTGGGTGTTGGGAAATCCTTAGGTGCTGGGTGAGGGTGTTACGGAACCTTCGGGGTAGGATGGTATAATAGAGGGGGTCCAAGGATGGTACTAGATTAGATTGTGTGTGTGTGTGTGTGTGTGTGTGTGTGTGTGTGTGTGTGTGTGTGTGTGTGTGTGTCACTTCATCATCTCACCAATCTTTCTGTCGTAGGATATCGTAGAACTCTAGTAGGATTCTCAATAGGCTAATAGGATTCTCAGGGTGTGAAGGTGGGCATCGTACCCTCTTGAATAGTAAATTGCTCTCTGTGGGCACGTTAAACAGACTCTCTCAAGGGTACCGGCAGCTCTGAGCCTTGAGGAAACTAAACTGTAGATGATAAGAGGCTGACGGATCTTAATGGCAGTGGGATTAGGGAAAGAAGGATGACTATTAGTGATGGGATTAGGGAAAGAAGGTTGGCTATTAGTGATGGGATTAGGGAAAGAAGGTTGGCTATTAGTGATGGGATTAGGGAAAGAAGGATGACTATTAGTGATGGGATTAGGGAAAGAAGGTTGACTATTAGTGATGGGATTAGGGAAAGAAGGTTGGCTATTAGTGATGGGATTAGGGAAAGAAGGTTGACTATTAGTGATGGGATTAGGGAAGGAAGGATGGCTATTAGTGATGGGATTAGGGATTAGGGATTATCACATGATTAGGGTGAGTTCCTTAACATAGTAGAAATGTGTTATACTGTTATATTGGACTATATATTTTTTATACTAGAGATATAACAAAAGGCTCTCCTCCTATATATAGCGTTATATTACAGTAATTACAGTAACTCCGTGGTAATATTTCACAAACTGACAGCTTTTAGATAAATGAATCAACCGAACGCTTGTTGCATGTGACGTGTTTGCAATGTTGAAAAATTATTCACGTTTTTTTCCCCCAGGTTGATAATTTTATATTTTTTTTTTATATTTTCGTTGATTATCCTGTGAAAAAAATAACTTGTTCCTCGTGATTAGGGTATTTTTTTATGGTGGTATGGTAGTAATGGTTACGGTAGTGGTTGTGATAGTAGTGGTTATGGTAGTGGTGGTTGTGGTTATGGTAGTGGTGGTTGTGGTTATGGTAGCTAATGGTTGTGTGGGAGAAAATGACTTGGTTTTTCATGGTTAGGTTATTTTTATGGTGTTTTATGGTAGTAGTTGTGGTAGTGGTATTAGTACTAGTGATTATGGTAGTGGTGGTATTAGTCGTGATTGTAGTGAGGGTGGTATTAGTATGATTGTGGTAGTGGTGGTTGTAGTAATGATTGTGGTAATGGTGGTACTAGTATGATTGTGGTAGTGGTGGTACTAGTAAGGATTGTGGTAGTAGTGGTAATTGTAGTAAGGTTCTCTAGTGTCGCCTGATAATGCCATGGATAATAGTGGTAGTAGTGGTAGTGACATGACAGTAGCGGTGGTGATAAAGGTATTGTACTCTGATAGTGGTGGTAGTAGTTGTGGTAGCAAAGACGTCCTCAACCCACGCTCACCAAATAGTGCCGTGGTCGTATGGTAGTAATGGTGGTCGTGTCAATATAGTAGTAGTAGTACTGGTGGTGGTACTGGTAGTTGTGGTAGTACTGGTAGTAGCGGTAGTAGTACTGTTAGTAGTGATGTTATGGTAGTACTGGTAGTAGTAGTAGTAGTAGTTTTTGTTGTAGAGCTGGTAGTAGTTGTGGTAGTACTGGTAGTAGTTGTGGTAGTACTGGTAGTAGTTGTGGTTATTATAGAAGGCCCTCCACACTCGCCTCATTGCCGCCGCTACTTCCCTTATCAGGCCGGAAATTACTGGTTGTGTACGCGAGGTCTGGTTGGCACTGCCTGGCACTGTGTGTGTGTGTGTGTGTCAAGTGGCTCCTCCTTCGTGAACCTTGGATTCCTCTACATCTCCGTCATGACTATTTCTTTCTGTCCTTAAGTTTGAGTTTTTATTTGGACTCCAAGTTTTCTGTGATTGGATTTTGTTATTGTGATTGGACTTTGTTATTGTGATTGAACTATGGTTATTTTCGTGATTTAAACTCTGATTAGGTTAGGTTAGGTTAGGATACATTTAGTTAAGTTAGGATTCATTTCAGGGTCTGTTTTGGTTAGGTTTGGTTAAATTAGGGGTACATTTGGTTAGGTTTGGTTGGTTAGGGGTACATTTGGTTAGGTTTGGTTAAGTTAGGGGTACATTTGGTTAGGTATGGTTAAGTTAGGTACATTTGGTTTAGTTTGGTTTGCTGGTTAGGGGCATTTGGTTAGGTTTGCTGGTTAGGGGTACATTTGGTTAGGGTTTGTTAGTTAGTACATTTGGTTAGGTTTGGTTGTTAGGGGTACATTTGGTTAGGTTTGGTGTTAGGGTACATTTGGTTAGGGTTTGTTGGTTAGGGTAGATTGGTTAGTATGTAAGGTTAGGGTACATTTGGTTAGGTATGTTAGGTTAGGGGCACATTTGGTTAGGTTTGCTTGTTGGTTAAAGGATTTGGTTAGGTTTGGTTGGTTAGGGGCAACATTTGTTGTGGTTTCTAAGGTTAGGGGCACATTTGGTTAGGTTTGGTTTTGTTGGGTTAGGGGTACATTTGGTTAGGTATGGTTAGTTAGGGTACATTTGGTTAGGTTTGCTGTTAGGGGTACATTTGGTTAGGTTTGTTGTTATTAGGGGTACATTTGGTTAGGTTTTGGTTAGGGCACATTTGGTTAGGTTTGGTTAGTTAGGGGTACATTTGGTTAGGTTTGGTTTGCTGGTTAGGGGTACATTTGGTTAGGTATGGTTAAGTTAGGGGTACATTTGGTTAGGTTTGGTTGTTAGGGTACATTTGGTTTGGTTAGGTTTGGTTAAGTTAGGGGTACATTTGGTTAGGTTTGGTTTGGTTAGGTTTGGTTAAGTTAGGGGTACATTTGGTTAGGTTTGGTTTGTTTGGTGTACAAAGAGGAAGTGTGAGTATAACGGAACAACTAACGTGACGAAAATGGTCATTGCTATTGTTTTTAATTATGGCCCCATTTTCCTTGTTTATTTTTATGACACTGTTTTAGTACGTCGAGTTTATTTCATTATATCCAGTTTTATTAATAATTTATTCATCGTGAGTCTTATGTTAAATAGTTTATGCCTGGATTTACTTCTATATCTTAGGTTTTTTAGTGACTGTACTCCTGTAGGTGTCTGGTGAGGCCGTCGGGTGTACTGCCTCTCCTCCACCTCCTTCTCTCTCCTTTGTTTCTTTATCTCCTCTCACTTCTGTTCTCTGTCTTCTAACATTCATACCATATATGTTGGTTCTTCAGGCCAGACTGAGGCACTGTACAAGTGGCCCTCTGAGTGCCACTTGATTCTGATGGTTCCGTAACTAATAATGTTTTTCTTCTTTCATTACAGATGTAGTGTGCGCGTTGGAATGAGCTCGGTGCCCGGGGTGAGCCACGCCCACGCCGAGGCCGCCCACTCCGCCCACGCCCCTTCCCGCCCCTTCCCGCCCTACAATTGCCTGGTGGAGATGGAGCTGGGGGAAGGACTGACAGGCCGCCTTCTCGACACTCACAACCTGCTCTTCGGAGACGGGTTCTCTGACACGTTGTCCTCCCGCGTGGTGGGCGTCGACGGCAACAGCGCCTACCGCCCCTGGGAGGCTGACCACCCTGGCGACCATCGGCCCGCTGACCACAGGCTCCACCCGTTGGCGGCCTCCTCTGCGCCCATCCAGGTGCTCACCCACTCGCCCTCGGTGGCTGCAGCTTCCAGTGCTCAGATGTCGCACTACGCGCACACCATCCCCACCTTCAGCGACTCACCCCCGCGGGTCATGCACCTCACCATGTGGGGCCTCAACACCCGTTGCCGCACAAGTTGCCGCCCTTCGCCGCCTTCAGCCCTGAGCGTAGCGTGGGCAGCACCACGCCCTCGCCGCTCCCCTCCTTCAACACGTTGCCGTCACCGCACGCCCGCTACCCCCTGGTACCGGCGCCCGTGCAGGCGCGGGAGATACCCACCATCCAGCAACAGATGATGGATGAACGACATATCCGATGTTCGAGTCCCCACAAGGCAGCGACCCGGCGCCCTCCTCTACGACGCCGGCTCAAGTCTCCCCCAACACACAGCCTCCTGCAGGCTCCAGCGGCAGCAGCTGCAGCAGCGGTAGTAGTAGTAGTAACAACAGTAACAATAACAACAATGGTGCCCAACAGCAGCAGCAGACGTTCGACAACAGTTCGTCACACCTGCGGGTTGAGGGGTCAGTGCGTGTGGGAGTGAAGCGTGCAGGCCGGGCCGGCTCCCTCGAGAGCTCGGAAAGCGACGCGTCCGTCTCTGGCACGGAGAACAGCGGCCAGGTGTCGAGCGTGTCCTCCACGGCCGTCAACAACGGAGACAACAACACCGCGCCCACCGTCATGAACGCGGGCCCCACCGTGCCCTGCTCAGAAGGGGGTTTTCGTCCCCCGCCCCCACAACAACCGCCCCACCCCAGGACGACCCTCCTGAAAAACCTGTCAAGAAAAAGCGGAAACGTTGTGGTGACTGTGTCGGGTGCCAGCGTAAGGACAACTGCGGTGACTGCGCCCCCTGTAGGAACGACAAGTCGCACCAGATCTGCAAGATGCGACGATGTGACAAACTAACGGAGAAGCGGGTGAGTACTGCACCGTCTTCTTTCTTATTCTCTCGAGAGCCAGTCTCCTCCTGAGAGAAAAGGAAATATGTTTATGTTGTATTTTAAGAAACAAACTTCCATTCACAGCCTTTTAAGAGATAAGTTTATGTAATTGTCGCTGCCAAATATAATCGTATTAAATTAATCCTCTGAACGACGTATTATCCTCGTCGTTGGGAACAAGAAAATAACAGGTGAAGGTCAGCCAGACCCAGTAGCATGACACAGGAGAAGGTCACGTAGCCTCTGCATTATTACACCGAGGCAAAGGTCGCGTAGCTCCGGGCAACACAGACAATTAAGAGCGGATTTAAGTAGCGACCTTGAAGGATTCCAGTGACTAAGAGTTTTGGGAAAGGCGAAGAAGTCACCTCTTCCTGAACCCAGGCAGCTGCTGAGGTCTCGTATGTCAATGACGACTACCCTCTGTTAACTTTTTTATAGTGTGTATTACTTTGTTACCAAAAAGTTCATGATCTTTGTACTGTTTGTCCTTCAGGTGTTGAGGTAGTGAAGGTGTTAGTGGGCGGAAGTGAAGACCTTGGGGGAGGTTAGAAACGCAGTTGGTGGAAACTAAGCGCCGCCATGACCACCTGAGCACCAGTTGACGTTAGTGTATTAAACAAACTATATTATTAACAACGGGGAAATATTACAAGAGTTACAGCAGGAGTTGAACTGATTGGTGTTTGTGGTACAGTAAAGTAAGGTACTGTACTCCACACAGCCTTGGTGATGTAGTGTTGAGGCTATCACGCGTCACACATTAACTTGACCTTGAGAAACTAACCTCAACCCATCAGTAAGTTACACCTGTAGGGTAGGAACACCTTGCTTGTTAATTAACACCTCCAACAAAAGTCTGATATTCCAGAATTATTCTTATTGACTTTCGTTCATTGGTGTGCATAGAATTTACGGCAATCTCCTTAGACGACAGTTGTGTGTACCGATAAACGTCTCGTTGAACGAGACCCGTGTGCACCATGTTCATTAACTTCTCACCAACACGTTACCTACTCGATAATCAACACCTTTGTCCGAAGAAAATTCTCGTTGAACATCATCTGTGTTCATTAACCTCCCAGCACCACACGCCACCTCCTCGGTAATCAACACCTTCGTGCCGACAAACGTCTCGTTGAACGACACCTGTGTACACCGTGTTCATTAACCTTCCAGCAACACACGATAAGCGTCTCAGTAAACGAGCAACACCTGCGTGGGTCTTGCGATCGTGTAATGTTGTTGTTACTCAGTGTGTACACTCACCTAGGCGGGGTGTGTGAGAGCGACCCCTTGATGAGTACCTGAGGCAGCATGAGGAACCCCTTGTAGGTTAGGGTGATTCACGCGGCCCCGGCGGCTAGCGGGGCGTGAGGGAGGCGTTGTGAGGCGTCGGTGATTCATGCCTGGGTATCCTTGTGACTCATAACTTTTATAGGAAGAGGTTCAGAACAGCGATGTGGTTGTGACGCCGCCCGCTACCACGTCTGCCTCTACTGCTGCTGGAGGTTGTGTGGTTGGTGGTGAATTGTGTGGTTGTGGTATGATGTTGGTTGATAGACGTATTTAACTTGGTTTGGGTGGATTTGACGAAGCTGCAGTGGCTAGAAACATAGATAAAGAAGAAAATACGGAAAATAGGAAAGAGCAAATCAAAGATATTTTTTTCTTCTCTGGGCAGCGAAGAGGGAATTGGCAGAATGGGAATGAATTGGATGCAGGTGGGTGACAGTGGCGGTGGAGAGTTGTGGATTGAGAGAGACGATTGAAATTGATTATTTTCTCTCACTCAACCAATTACGAGTTTGAACATAAGGTTGATAGACGACTTCTGCGCATTATTATCAATTTACCCATTTTCTGAGTGCCAATTACGTTATTAATTTTGCGATGATTTATTAATTTCGATTACCAGAGATAAACCGCGAATTTGAGTTCTCAGTTTGTGGCCAGTATAAATTCACGAGTCATCACTAAATTACTCCATCAATTACATCGCCAATATGAATTCCCAGTCATTATCGGTAATTGAAGCTCCCAGTCAATTCGCCAATTTTAAGTCACAACACCAAATTTACCATCCAATCATTATCGCCAACATAACCACGCAGTCAATATCGCCAATTGAAGCTCCCAATCAATTCGCCAATTTAAGCTTCCAGTCACAATACTAATTTAGCCCAGTCACATCGCCAAATTTAACACAACTGCTACTCACACCGCCAACTGCCCAATTAGTCAGAGCAAGTAACTATCCCAGTGACAGACAGGCAGACAGTCAGGCGTGACAGTCAAGCAGCGTAACTGACTGGCACTTCCTCCTCAAACGCCTGTCAGCAATTATCGTACCAGTTCCTCACTCTCTGTCGTCTCTACCGGAAGTGACGTAGATAGCGGAAGTGAGTTAGTAATTAGTGATTTTTTTTAATTGTTCTGAAGTTAATTGTCGTTGTTATTCTTCTCTTGTTTGTGTTGTGAAAGGATGGCGGCCATTTTGAACCGATGTTATTACTGAAGCGGCCATTTTTAACTGATATTATTACTGAAGCGGCCATTTTTAACTGATATGGCTACAAAGCCATTATGAACTGAATAATTGTTACATTGGCGGCCATTTTGAACTGATATGAACTGTTGTTATTGATGCCACTTAATCCATTTTTGTTTTTTTGTAACTGGACACTTGGAGAAGAGTCGTGTTTATTTACGTCAGTGGCGGCCATCTTGAACTGTTAGTAACTGTTGATGTGTATTATTATTATTACACTGAAGAACGGATATCAATCATATCTAACTGGTACAAACTATTCATCCCAGTTAGAGTCATTATTATTATAACTGGTAGCCAGGAGAGAGAGAATGGGGGATCCTGCCATGTTTTGTAACTGGTATTAACTGTTAATTAATCACAATCATGGCCGCTAGTAGATTAGGCTAAATCCTGGGGATTTAGCCTCAACATTTTTTTCAATTATCTGTAAAAATCGTCAGTCGAGTTGTTTAACCGTATAACGCAGTTGGCCATTATTAATTATTAGTGTCATGTGTGAATGTTTGTAAAGAGTGTCTGTTGTTTTAATGTGTGTGTGTGTGTGTGTGTGTGTGTGTGTGTGTGTGTGTGTGTGTTCGGTGCTTTAATGAGTGTTTTTGTCATTCATTGTATGCATGTATGTTTGTATGTATGTATATATGTATGTATATTTTGTCTGTATCATTGCTTGTTTGTACACTATACATGGCAGTATGTCTCACTTGTATGTATGTATGTATGTATGTATGTATGTATGTATGTCTACGGGTCACATCAAAAGCGAACCAAAAATAACAACACGTGTACGAAACATGGAAGTGTCAGAACTGGACAATAATTACCCACTGATATCCCAACTTTTACACATCATGGAAATTAGCACAAATTGGGGCTATTTAACCCTTAATCTGCCGCCGCACTCAACAAAAACAAAATTTAATTACCAAATTCATAACACAAATCCATCATTATCGAGACTGATATCAACAACAGATTACAAAATAAAAGATAATTAAAATATCAGGTATTTAGTTTTGAGTTGGTTTCCCCCTCTGGTGACGTCACAGGATTTTTTTTTATAAACAAGAATCGTACTATACGTCTGAAGGGCCGCTGACACCTTCTGCTGACACCTGCTGACTGCTGACATCCACTTACACCCCTATATACCCACCTAAACACCCTGCACACCCACATAAACCCACCCACACCCACCTAAGCCCACCCACACCCACCTAAGCCCACCCACACCCACCTCCTGACGGTGTATCTGAAACCTCTCATCTGTTTCCTCCACCACCTGGCTCTTCCCACGTTAATGCTACAATGTGGATATCGTCTCGCTTATGAGGACGATGGGGGGTCCTCTCTCGCCATCACCCTCAAAGGCACCCCCTACCTATTTTCCATCACATCTCCCCCCTCTTTTCTCCCCATCACCTGTTTTCTCCCATCTCCTGTAATGCACTCTCAACCTCTCTCCCATCCTCCCACCGAGAGAGAGAGAGAGAGAGAGAGAGAGAGAAAGAGAGAGAGAGAGAGAGAGTAGGGGATGGGGTATGGGAAGGGGGAATGGGATGGGGTAATATTAATGGGGCTAATTCCTCTAATGATTGGTGATGTAACAAGCGATTCAGAGCTTTAGAGAGAATTGGTATAAAGGAGAACTAGAGAAGTATTTTTTTCCTCTGCGACCGAGGTAGTTTTTTTTTTAGTGTGTGTGTGTGTGTGTGTGTGTGTGTGTGTGTGTGTGTGTGTGTGTGTGTGTGTGTGTGTGTGTGTGTGTGTGTGTGTGTGTGTGTGTGTGTGTGTGTGTGTGCGTGTGTGTGTGTGGTTCAAACAGCGCTGTGCTATTGTTTGATTAGGTGTGTGGGCTAGTTGTTTCATTAATTATTTTCACGTTGCGGAGGGATTTGGGCTATGTGCAACTGAAATATAGAGGATTTAATTTGTTGCAATGGACGGTGGTGGTGGTGGGGGGGCTGACAGTAGGCATGATCATTGGCTGTTGTGTGTCATGACTTCTCTCTTCTCTCTCTCTCTCTCTCTCACATTAAATTATACATTTCATATAGTCATATAAATATGTAATTGTGAGGCAATATAATTTGTTTTGTATCTGTGTGTGTGTGTGTGTGTGTGTGTGTGTGTATCTGTGTGTGTGTGTGTGTGTGTATATAATAATAATAATAATTAACGGTTTATTGAAAGAGTATAAGCCAGAAGGCTGAAAATATACAGTTACATATTTGGGGAATGGGTTTCGAATTACAAATAATATACAAGTAACATAAGTGATACAAATAAGATATATAATAACTAGATGGGAAAAGCTCAAACTACAGTTCATTTCAACATAGTGACAGTGCAAGGAGTAGTGTTTACTGGGAGTGAATACACCGGTTTATTACAAGTTATTGATAATTTTTACAATGGT